GGATTGGGGCAGTGGGTGAAACTCCAAGCCTCACAGGAGAGTTCGTTGGAGAGACCCACAAGGTCCTAGAACATACAAAAACCCACCCACATGGGAATCAGCACCAGAAGGGCCCAGTTTCCTTTGGGGAAGTGGCAGAAGTGGCCAAAATCCAGCAGAGAGAGGAGAAAGCACCATTTTTCCTTCTCGGACCCCTCCCCCACATACAGCATTACAAGCCAGTGACTGGGTTACCCCACACTGGTGAACACCTAAGGCTCCACCCTCACCATGTAACAGGAACATCAAAACAAAAAAAAAATGGCCCAAATAAAAGAACAGATCAAAACTCCAGAACAAATACAACTAAGTGATGAAGAGAGAGCCAACCTATCAGATGCACAGTTCAAAGCACTAGTGATCAGGATGCTCACAGAATTGGTTGAATTTGGTCACAAATTAGATGAAAAAGTGAAGGCTACACTAAGTGAAATAAAGGAAAATGTACAGGGAACCAATAGTGATGGGAAGGAAACTGGGACTCAAATCAATGGAGTGGACCAGAAGGAAGAAAGAAACATTTAGATAAGAATGCAGAAACAAGAATTCAAAAAAATGAGGAGAGGCTTAGGAACCTCCAGGACATCTTAAAGGTTCCAACATCCAAATTGTAGGGGTACCACAGGGAGAAGAGGAAGAGCAACAAATTGAAATCTTATTTGAACAAATAATTAAGGAGAACTTCCCCATTCTGGCAAAGGAAATAGACTTCCATCAGGTTCAGGAAGCTCAGAGAGTCCCAAAGAAGTTGGACCCAAAGAGGAACACACCAAGGCACATCATAATTACATTACCCAATATTAAAATGAAGGAGAGAATCCTAGAAGCAGCAAGAGATAAGGAGATAGTCACCTACAAAGGAGTTCCCCTCAGACTGTCAGCAGATTTCTCAAAAGAGACCTTGCAGGCAAGAAGGGGCTGGAAAGAAGTATTCCAAGTCATGAAAGGCAAGGACCTACATCCCAGATTGCTCTATCCAGCAGAGCTTTCATTTAGAATGAAAGGGCAGATAAAGTGCTTCCCAGATACGGTCGAGTTAAAGGAGTTCATCTTCACCAAGTCCTTATTACATGAAATGTTAAAGGGACTTATCTATGAAAAAGAAGATAAAAAACATGTACAGTAAAAAGACAGCAAACTCACAGTTATTAACAACCACACCAAAAACAAAAATGAACTAACCAAAGAAACAAAACAGGAACAGAACCACAGAAATGGAGATCACATGGAGGATTATCAGCAAGGGAGTGGGAGGGGGAGAGAGGGGGAAAAGGTACAGAGAATAACTAGCATAAATTGTAGGTAGAAAATAGACAGGGGGAGGTTAAGAACTGTATGGAAATGTAGAAGCTAAAGAACTTATAAGTATGACACATGGACATGAACTAAAGTGGGGGAATGTGGGTGGGAAAGGGTGTGCAGGGTGGAGGGGAATAAAAGGGGGGAATGGGACAACTGTAATAGCATAATCAATAAAATATATTTTAAATTTTTCCAAAAAACTATATTATCCCATTAATTTTCCTTTAATTTCTCAAATTCTTTATAGTTTAGAAGTGTACAAAAATGCCACATATTTGAGTAGACACCAAAATTACATGGGATATAAAAATGCAATTACATTTCAGGATTCTAATCTCATTTTCATTTTTCTCCTTCTCTTCTTTGTTACTTAATCTATACATCTATTATTTGAAACACAAAGTATTGAAAGTTGTGTAACTTGAATAGCTCTCAATTTGTTCTTTAGTCCTGCCATTTTCTGCCAAAGACCTTTTCTAATTCATTAAAGCATGACTTATTAAACTGGTATAATGTTACTCGAATTTCATTTTCTTTTATACTACAAGGCTTATTTTGGTTCTGGTGAATTTTCAAACCTCCAAAACACAGTATTCAATATTGTGCACTTAAACCATTCACAGAAGCCCTCGATGGACTGTTTTTATAATAACTATGAATACAATAATATTAAAATCTTAGTGTGATATGGCTGATCAATTATATTGCTAATAAGAGAATTTTACCTCCACAATTTCAGGTGTAGTAAATGACCATTACTTATTGGATTGGGCTTTATTTTTTATTAAATAAAATGTTACTGCAGCTTCTTCATGGAAAAGGGACATCACCTTTTAAAATTGATTTTTTAAAATATATAATCCAGTTTGAAATGGAATTAAATACATCACAGAACTGTATCATGGCTTTACCATTTCTATTGAGGAAGAACATAATCAAAAACTTCCCTAAATGTCATCTGGGGTTTGGTAAAGTCCCATTTGCAAGCACCAGCCAGCATTCTCATCTACCAAATATAACAAGGCAATTGTCAAAAGAAAAAGATCATCCTCTGCACATATATTCATCTCAACCCAAGTGAACTTTTTGCCCATCATAGCTGGGAACCATCCCTGTCTCGAAGCCCTGAGAACTTGTACAGAGAACATAAAACAGGCAGCTCAGGTCTTCCAGTAGTGGCCTGGAGTTACCTTTAAGACTTGCTCACAGTGCTGGCCTCATTATCTTCCACATTCTCTACACCTGGTCACCAAATAAAAAACAGAGTAGTAAAAGTGATAGTCACTAGTCAAACTCACACAACTGTACTATTTCACGTGGTATTTGTTGTTTGATTTTAATTTGAACTGAAATAATAGAAATATAATCAAAGGAACCACTAAAAAAAAGTAGCATTTTTTGAGAAACCAGATCTGGCCACACTGAATCCATACTCCAGTCTGGCAAAAACTAGATGGAGTTGAGTTGAGTCATGGCCAAAATCTCTGATAATGGCAAAAGCCCTTCCATTTGCCACAGTGTCCTTTTCACAGAGGGAGGACAAATGTCAGCAGCATCCTTTATTGTGTTTTTACTCTTGCTTTCCTTATGGTGTCTGTTTCCACTCTGTGTTAAAAGTAAGAATAGAAGTTATACTGGAAGGGCTCTGTATTGAGAGAGAAAGTTGAGATGGAGAATACCTCTCTAACAAAGTGAAGAATAATCCTATAATTTTCATAAGTAAATAGTATTCTACTTTCCTTATTCTCTTTTCTGCCCAAACTCCATATGCACTTGGATTTCAAACCCTCATATAATTGCTTCTGTGCAGATTGTTTTTACCACAAATGGCCACACCACTCCATGTGTTCATTCACAGCTTTGCTGCCCCTGTGGAAAGAGGTAGATTTTGGGTTCCCTCCTCTTGCCCTGGGAAGGCCTCTATGACTACTTCCATGAATATAATATGGTGGAAGAGTCACCACTTGGATTCCAAGATGAGGTTAGACAAGAACACAAAGCTCTCTGGGCTGGTTTTCTCTTAGAACACTTACTGAGAACTCAGCCACCATGTTTTAAGGAAGCCACATGCAGATGCCATGTGTAGGTATTCCAGCCTAAAATCCTAGGCCCCAGGCAACATCAACTGCTACACATATAGTGACAACTTTCTGCCATTTTTGAATACCAAGCATGTTTTCTGGGGGGGGGGGACTGAAATGGTTTATCTCCAGATAATTCCAGCCCCTGATCTTGAAGTCACCCCCAGCCTTCACATACTCTCATTGAGGCCTCTGAAATTATTTAACAAAGACAAACTGTCTCCTACCTTGCCCTGTCTGAATTACTGACCTTCAGAATCTGTAAGTTTGTTTTGTACCACTGACTCTTAGAATACTGTATTTTGCCATGTGCAATGCATATTTTTGCCCACATTTTTGAGGGAAAAATAAGTATGCACATTACACATGGGTATAATGGTTACATACCATGAGTGCAATAATCCTATGAACAATGAGAACAAAAACATGGCCACGCATTATACGTGGGAGTGAATTATACGTGGTAAAATACAGTAATTTGTTACACAGCATCATATAATAAGCAACTCCTGCGAATTAGTTTTAAGTGGTCATCCTACTTGTTTGTTTCAATGAAAACAATTGTGTCTGCTTCTCCAAGGAGGACATACAGAGGGTCCAGAGACATATGAAAGGATGCTCAGCATCACTAGCCATCAGAGAGATGCAAATTAAAGCCACAGTGAAATACCACTTCACACCATTGAGAATGGACATCATAAACAAAGCAACAAACAACAAATGTTGGAGAGGGTGTGCAGAAAAGGGAACCCTAATGCACTGTTGGTGGGATTTGCAGACTGGTACAACCACTATGAAAAACAGTATGTAATTTTCTCAGAAAACTAAAAATGGAACTGCCTTTTGACCTGGCAATTCCACTACTAGGATTATATCCTAAGAACCTTGAAACACCAATTCAAAAGAACCTGTGCACCCCAATGTTCATAGCAACACAATTTACAATAGCCAAGTTCTGGAAGCAGCCTAGGTGCCCATCAGTAAATGAATGGATCAAAAAACTATGGTACATTTACACAATGGAATTCTATGCAGCAGAAAGAAAGAAGGAGCTCCTACCCTTTGCAACAGCATGGATGGAACTGGAGAGAATTATGCTAAGTGAAATAAGCCAGGTGGTGAAAGACAAATAACCATATGATCTCACCTTTAACAGGAACCTAATCAACAAAACAAACAAGCAAGCAAAATATAATCAAAGATATTGAAATTGAGAATAGGCTGACAGTGACCAGTGGTGACAGGGGAGGGGATATGGGGGAAAAGGATGAAAGGTTTTTAGGAACAATTATAAAGGACACATGGACAATAACAAGGGGGGTAGGGGAAACAGGGGAAGGAGGTGGGTAGGGCTGGGGTGGTGGAGAAGAGTGGGGGAGAAAGGAAAAAAACTACTTGAACAAGAATAAAAAGAATAATGCAGTTTTGTCTGGGGACAGAAAAAGGCATGCCTAAACTAGACATCACTATGTAGTTTTATTTATTTGTTTATTTATTTATTTATTATTTTTATGTATTACTATATCAGTGCTTCACCTGTAACCATTGAAATAAGCATGTGTCTGTAACATACCTCAGGTCCCATGCCCTACAGGAGCTGATATTAGTCAACACCTGACAAACAGAGAGATTCCAAACAGCAGTAAACAGCGATATACTGGTAAAGTTCCTTGTAATCATTTTATTCTCAATGATGAAGAAGACTGCTTGAAGGCCCTGACTTGGATAAGAAACAACTCTATCATCACAGAAGGTAAGAATGTTGGTTACTGCTCATCTCAGAATAGTGTTTTATTTTTATGAAAATCTCATTCATCTAGTTCTAGTATATAATTAGTGTCTAATTAATGTCAACCAAATAATTCCTCTGTCATGCTTAGTTTTCCAGATTAATTTACAACTTGTCAGTTTTGGATACCCAGCAGGAAAGAAAAAGGCTTGAGATAGTTTAATTATCTATAATTATTTTATTATACAAAATGAATATCCAAACAGCAGAGCATGGCTAAAATTGTTAACTAATTAAAGAATAATTTAATAAGCAAACATGTTTAGTAATTATATGGAAAATATGTCTCCTTTTGTGAAGCTAAAAATATCTAGGAAAAAAAAAGAAAGGTCTGTGTCTGAAGGTCTCTTTTCTTTGTTTCACAATCCATTGTGCTCTTTCTTGGTGTTGTTGCACAATCCTTCCCACAAACACACATATTCAAGTTGTATGCCACTTTCTGAATCAAAATGAGAGCATAAAACCTTTGTACAAATGTTCCTGCCACTCATAAGTGTTTGTTCAAGCTTCATCCTCTCTATTTCTTGGATTAAATTAAAATTGTTTAACTAATAAAACAACCAGAACGCGGCCTGGCTACCTATTTGTCCTTAATTGAAACCTGGCAGTCAAGTTCTGGAGAAGAGAGTGCAATCCTTTTATTTTACCTAAAGCACCAGGAGAGCCAGTGACTTGGTTGGGTTATATAACCTGGGATTGTAAACTGGACTTCAAATTCAGTTCAGGGGTGTAAACTTCACTAAATGCCCAGAATGTGGGGATCAATCAGTAAAATTATATATAAATGCATTAAATGTATATATTTAAATATAATGTAATTGTATTAACATAATTACTATATTACAATTAAATATCGTTTGTCTTGATTTTTGGTGGAAGATTTACATATTAGTGGAATTTTGTCAAGTTGCTTAATTTACTACATTAAAAAGTTACTAATTATTACATTAAAAATAAGTATCAAATGAGATTTAATGCATTGCTGGATTCAGTTTGCTAATACTTTACCAGCCATTTGCATCTAAATTTATACGTGAGATTGGCCTGTAGTTTTCTCTTTTATGCTATACTTGTCAATTTTTTGGAATCAAGTGTATACTAGTCCCATGAACTGTTTTTTAGGGGGGAATTTTCCATATTTTTCTGGGGTCTGGAACATTCCATGTACCTAAAATTTGAACAGAAATCACTAATAAAACCAACTGGGTCTAGAACTTTTGGGAAGAGATAGAATATATAGATATATACAGAGGACCAGATTTAAAAGTTGTCAAGTATTTTCATGCTTGCATCACAATTTGGTGCTACTTACAGTGTTGCATCTGTATGTGTTTAAACCTGTTTCAACATTTTAGTTATTCATTTTTTAAAAATCCACATCTGAAGACATGCTTCTATTGATTTTAGAGAGAGAGAAGGGGAGAGAGATACATCAATGTGAGAGAGAACCATCTTCTGGTTGCCTCCCATACATACCACAACTGGGACTGAATCTGTAACCCAGGCCAGGAGTCAAACCCAAAACCCTTCGGTGCATGGAATGATGCTCCAACCCACTGAGCCGTGCAGCCAGGGCAACAGTTTAGTCATTCTTTAATCATTGCCCCTAAGTCTATGACCTACATAGACTTAGGGAATTGTCTAATCTGAGATGAGCAGACTGTTATTATAAGGGCCAGATTGTAAATATTTAGATTTTGCAGGCCATATGGTTTCTGTCTCAATGATTCAACTCTGCTATTGTAGCAAGAAAGCAGCAGACAGTATGTCAACGAATGGGCATGGCTGTATTCCAATAAAACTTTATATACAAAAAAATAGATTTCCAGCCAAGATGGAGGTGTAGGTAGACACACTGTGCCTCCTCGCACAACCAAAATTAAGGACAACAAAAATTTAGAAGCAAAAAAACAGCCAGAACAGACAGAAAATTGAACTGCACAGAAGTCCAGACAACCATTCATCCAGACCAGTAAGAGGGGTGGAGTTGGCAGCCAGTGGAGAGGGGTCGCTGCAGGAAAAAGCAGTGGCTGGCAGACCTGGGTGCTCAGGGCACAGGTGGTGGCTAGCAGACCCTAGTGGTAGACCCTGGGCTTGGGCATGGGGAGGCAACAAGCAGACACAGCAAGGCATGCAAGGCAGCTGGCTGTCCACAGTCACACATTCATGTGCAGATAAACCAGGCGAAAACCAGCAGCGAGACAGACCGCACAACCCAGGGCCCCAGCACGGGGAAATAAAGCCTAAAAGCACTGAATGAAAACAATTGTGGAGGTTGAGGTGCAGGGAGAGACTCCCAGCCTCACAGGAGAGTTCCTTGAAGAGACCCATAGGGTTCTAGAACATTCAAAGCCCACCCACCTGGGAATCAGCACAAGAAGGACCCAGTTTGCTTGTGGGGAGCAGCAGAGGGAACTGAAATCCAACAGAGAGTGGAGCAACTGCCATTGTTCCCTCTCTGACCCGGCTCCCACATACAGAGTCACAACTCAGCAACTGGGTTGCCCCGCCCAGGTGAACACCTAAGACTCCACCCCTCATTTGTAACAGGCATAACCAGACACCCCCCTCAAAAAAAATGGCTCAAACAGAAGAACAAATCAAAGCCACAGAGCCAATACTTTTAACTGACCAAGAGATAGCCAATCTATCAGATGCACAGTTCAAAGCACTGGTGATCAGGATGCTCACAGAATTGGCTGATTTTGGTTGCAAATTATATGAAAAAATGAAGGCTGCACTAAGTGAAATGAAGAAAAATGCACAGGGAACCAATAGTGATGGGAAGGAAACTGTGTCTCAAATCAATGGAGTGGACCAGAAGGAAGAAAAAAACATACAATCAGAAAAGAAGGAAGAAATAAGAATTCAAAAAAAATGAGGAGAGGCTTAGGAACCTCCAGGACATCTTGAAATGTTCCAACATCCGAATTACAGGGGTACCACAGGGAGAAGAGGAAGAGCAACAAATTGAAAACTTATTTGCACAAATAATAAAGGAGAACTTCTCCAATCTGGCAAAGGAAATAGACTTCCAGGAAGTCCAGGAAACTCAGAGAGTCCCAAAGAAGTTGGACCCAAAGAGGAACACACCAAGGCACATCATAATTACATTACCCAATATTAAAATGAAGGAGAGAATCCTAGAAGCAGCAAGAGATAAGGGGACAGTCACATACAAAGGAGTTCCCCTCAGACTGTCAGCAGATTTCTCAAAAGAGACCTTGCAGGCAAGAAGGGGCTGGAAAGAAGTATTCCAAGTCATGAAAGGCAAGGACCTACATCCCAGATTGCTCTATCCAGCAAAGCTTTCATTTAGAATGGAAGGGCAGATAAAGTGCTTCTCAGATAAGATCAAGTTAAAGGAGTTCATCATCACCAAGTCCTTATTACATGAAATGTTAAAGGGACTTATCTATGAAAAAGAAGATAAAAAACATGTACAGTAAAAAGACAGCAAACTTACAGTTATTAACAACCACACCTAAAACAAAATAAAACTAAGCAAACAAACAAAACAGGAACAGAACCACAGAAATGGAGATCACATGGAGGGTTAGCAACAGGGGAGTAGAGGGGGAGAGAGGAGGAAAGGGTACAGAGAATAAGTAGCATAGCTGGTAGGTAGAAAATAGGGGAAGGGCAAGAATAGTATGGGAAATGTAGAAGCTAAAGATCTTATGACACATGGACATGAACTAAAGTGGGGGAATGTGGGTGGGAGAGGGTGTGCAGGGTGGAGGGGAATAAAGAGGGAAATGGGACAATTGTAATAGCATAATCAATAAAATATTTTTAAAAAACGTTTACAAAAATAGATGATGAGACATAATTTGCAGAGAAGTCTGCTGTTATCCAAACAGTTTGTGAAAAAGCATTGCCGTTTCATCAAGTCCAGATGTCAAAGTCCCTGAAAACCTTAAACTCCCTGAATACACAAAAGCATGCCTTACAACTACAAGGTCTGTCTGCAAAAAGTCCAGCCATTGTTAATATAATGAGAATGGTTTGCATGACATCGATGTAACCTGGCAACCAAGGAGACAGGACTGCTATGTGCATGTGTGAACAATGATGACTTCACTGTACTAGTCAGTGGGGGAAGTAGTCACTGTTGACTGAACATGTGTACTGTGTGGCCATCACAATCAAAAGGACTGAGTAAAGCAATGAATATGCATCAAATTTTGCATTAACCTTGAGCATTCCTCCATGGAAACTATTTGGATGGTTCAGAAGGCTGCAGCTATGGGCAATTGGTGATTTGGCAGCTTCATCAGGACAACATGCCCACTCATGCATCATGGCTTGTGCAGGGTTTTTTGGTGAAACATCAAATTGCATAGGTGACTCAGCACCCCTACAGGCCAGATTTGGCACTCTGCTGGATTGTCTCAAAACTAAAAATGACTTTGAAAGGAAAGAGGTTTCAGACTGTCGATGAGATTCAGGAAAATACGATGGGGCAGCTGATGGCAACTGAGAAAACTGTGTGAGATCCCAAGGTGCCTACTTTGAAGGGGACTGAGGTGTCATTGTCCTATCTACAATGTTTCTTGTACCTTGTGTCTTCTTCAGTAGAGTCTCTATTTTTTCATATTACATGGCTGGATACCTTATGGACAGACCTCATATGCTTAGTCCTATTATAATGCAGGGTTTTAACTTCAAACTATTGGCTTTTTGGGTGTTTGGAATATGGAACATTTAAAAATGAAAGGGGCTAAGAAAGTGGCAATGCATTTTCTTAAGGTTGATTGTATATGGCAGAGAATTTAGAAATTCCAAAGCAAGAAGCACTATGCTCTCCTTAAGATGCCTTCTTTTTCATGCTCTTGGTTCTCAGATGGGCAAAGACCATCAGTGCTATTCTGGTGATTTAACTAATTGTCACAAATGGTGATACTCTGGTTCCTACTTAATGGGAAATGCCTCAGAAAGATTTAAGTATTTCTCTAATTGGC